CGAGTCAAACTTTTTATTTTCTTCCACTCTGTCATGGGCTAAAAATCCAGTTTTCTATAAACAAATTTTGTTGCAATTAAAGGCCTTGTTTGTTTTCAGTATGGAAAATCTGGGTGGGCCTTCGTCCAGTCATCCAGCATCAGGCTTTCTTAACAATTTACTTTGTAGAAATCCTTCAAAACATGATGCACATTTTCACTTTTGGCGCAGGCTTATGTATATACATCTCTGCCTCTTTTGCAGCTGGAGGTGACCCTGGACCTGGCGGAGCGGCGGGAGATCCGCTCCGCAATTCGAGAGTTACGCAGTAAGGAGCTGGAAAGATGTGAGGAAGCGCTGGCCTCGAAACGCTTCAGATCGGACAGAGGACACGAGGACAAAGAGAATCAGCCTGGGTTAGTTAATGTGTTTGTCTTGTAATGGTACCTCATCGAAGGGAAACTACAGTGTATTTTTATGAACATGGACTCAGTTTAACTTTTACCAAAAACTAATGCTTGAAGTGACTATAATATTTTAATTTATATATTTTATTTAATACATTTTATAGAAACATTGTAATTGTTCCTTCAAAGTGACGCTAAACTCAATAGTTAAAGGAGAACTATGAGGTGAGTGCTTTTCACTCATCCTCATAGTTCTAGCCGACCTGTGACAATGAGACTGTCACAGGTCGGCTCAGTAGATCGGGAAGTGAGCAAACGCATACCATCGCTCGCTCACTTCTCGATCCTGTCACGGCTCTCTGCCGTGACGGAATGGACTGGATTCCCCCTCCCCGCTCCGATCCTCCAGCGCTGACTGGCGGAACGGACGGGGCGTGTACAGCTGGCTCTGTCTCTAGATAGACAGAGCCAGCTGTCACTCGCTCAGCTGGGCGGATCCAGACATAATTGTCGGGATCTGTTTCAGCTGTGGCGTCTCAGTACACCGTGAGCTGCAGCTCGTGGTATACTGAGCTTTGGGTAACGGGAGGACACTAGTTTGTGCCCTCACGTTACCCTTCGGAGAACTATGGGGAAAAGCCCTAACCCCATGGTTCTCCTTTTAAGGTACTTGAATGCATTTTTAAGATTTAACTCCTAACAAAAATGTATCTTATTTGTGTATCACTCAGCTGTAGATCTTCAAATCATCTCTGAATTGGTGCTGACACTGTCCTTCCTTCTGGAGGGTGGCTACTTTTTCCCCATGGTCCCTGTGTGTGTTGTAAAGTAGTCAACGCTCCAAGATCACCCCCTGATGGAATACAATTTCAGTACAAATTAGTAAACTAAATGTGAGTTTGTAGTCCATCACAGGAGTGAGCTTGGAGCGGTGGCTACTTTACAACACACACAGTGACCATGCGGAACAAAAGTAGTATTTTTAAGGTTTAACTCTTGAGTTCAGTGTCACTGTAAGTGGGTATCTACCTGACTTCTAGGCCTGCACTCAGAGACTGGAATAGTGTCTGTCACGCATACTACTGTCACTGTACATTACTAATCTGGAAGCAGAACTTGTAGTAACCAAATATGGAGGATTACCTATGTAATTTTAAAAACTATGCAGAGATGCAATGTTTCAAAAACATTTATGCGCATTGATGCATAGATGACAAGAAAAAAATATTATTTCCCTAAATTAGAACTACAGAAAGGTAATAAAAGATTACTGTTTGACCGAATTCAAAATATTCAGGCCAGGTTCACACCATTTTCTGGGCCAGATCTAGAACATGGTGCATTGCGTTTTGCCTCTTCTTTTTTTTTGTGCTTAAAATGGGCTTACAGATACGTTCCAGTGAGTTTGTGATGCCTTTCCATGCATTCCAGTGCATTTCAGACCAGAGAAAATGTGACGAGCAATATTTTTCTGTTCTGGACCGGAACTGACTGCGCTGGTGTGAACAGAGCTCAGAAATACCATAGGGATACATTGGAATGATTTTTTGGTCCGGGAACAAACCATTCTGGTTTGGACATGGTTCAGACATGGTGTAAAAAAGCCCTAAATGTATTTGTAATTATCGCTAATGTAAATCAATTTTTATATTTGCTTCCTGTAACCCCCTGCACATTTCAACTATCCAGCTCTAATGTATTGCACTGTGCTATAAATCAGTAGGAATGTAATGATGTCATAATCGGTACGCGTACACTCCGGGGGGTAAAATAACCAAGCTGCAGTGCAGAACAGTGAGCTTACTGTCCCGGACATTCTGTTTAGGAGGGCTACCTGACTTACCAAAAATATATGTAAAGTATGTGTAATTCTGTTCAGCTAATTTTGTATTTCTTCTTCTTTTTTTTTTTTTTTTTTATTTTGTATTTCAGCAGTTTTATAGTTTGCCTGGAATTAGTTTCAGGCCTGCTCACACAAAGGTGTTAAATGCACATTTAATGCACACTATCACACAGCGCACTAGGTGCATTGCATTGCCATACTCTCTTACCCTAACTCTCAGCAGCCATGGATTGTAGCGCAATGTGCAATACCACAATGCTGTTTAACGCAACGCCATGGTCTAAACAAGCCCCTTTATGCACCTTTTTATACATTGCCTTGCCAAACAAAGTCACCACCTTGATTTAGCTAAGCAGTTGGGTAAGCACCTTCCACTGGACAATAGGTCCAGGTTCAGCAACATTAGCACCCCCCCCCCAATCAAAAACGTTTCGGCTGCCTACCTGAATATACTGAATGACCAGATTTTTCCATCAATGGATTTTTTCTTCCCTGATGGCACATTGGGTATATTCCAAGATGACAATGCCAGGATTCATTGGGCTCAGATTGTGAAAGAGTGGTTCAGGGAGCGCAAGACATTATTTTCACACATGGATTGGCCACCACGGAGTCCAGACGTTAACCTCATTGAGAATCTTTAGGATGTGCTGGAGAAGACTTTACGCAGTGGTCCGACTCTCCCATCATCATCACTTCAAGATCTTGGTGCAAAATGAATGCTTCTCTTGATTAAAGTAAATGTTGTGACATTGCATAAGTTTATCGAAACAATGCCACAGCCAATGTGTGCCATGATGAAAGCGAAAGGCGGTCCAATGAAATATCAGTGTGTGACTTTTTTTTGTCCAGGCAGTGGATATTTCTCTTTTTTGTAAACACAGTTGTCTAGGTGGTTTAAACTAGGGTTTTATTTTGGGTGTTATACTACAACTGTGATTAGAAGGATTCTGATATCCAAATACACAGGTATGCACTATCCATATGATATCCAAAGAACATGCTTATAAGAAAGTATAAGCATATGTTAAACCATAAGTGTAAATAATTAACCACTGTGCTATGGTTCCGTGACAAAGGTGAAATATGAAAACAATGTGTGTAATGAAGCTGCTGTGTCAGAAAAATAGTATTGGCTATTTTCAGAGATTGATAATGCAACGGACACTGCGATAAATTTCAAATGTGCTTCTAATTAGTCCCTTATGTGCTTAATCCTTTTAGAATAATGTACCAGCTGTTAATTATAAGTAAACTGGCAAATCTTCATGTGAAAACAATCTACATACCAAATCATATATGTGCTCCCAATTCATAAAGTCTATAAAACATAAGAATAATTATAGAATTGGTCACTCATCTTGCGGTGGTCACCTTTTTTACGGGCTGACCAGGAATCATTTAGTTAATCCTGGTCAACCGGTAAAAAGGTGACCACCGTAAGCTGGTGAGTGAACAATTCTAGCATTTTTTACATCACTGAATAAGGAGGAGGAGCACGAAGATTTGTTTTACTAATACTGTGGTTCCAATTTGATTGGAAGCGCACACAAGGATTATTGAACTTCACTTTTTTTTATAGACTTTATAAATTGGGAGTCTGTTGCATTATAAACCATAAGTGGTTTTGCGTATATTTTCATCAGTTATGGTTATAAAAATTTTTTGTTAAAGTTCAAGTGTTCATTTCTCTTTAGACTGGTAAATATTGCACATCCAATACTTTGCATTCTCAATTTTAGCCAGCAGATAGGCTTGTTTTCACATTTCTAACAGGGCAAGCTGGGTAGTGTTATGTATAAGAGGGTTTGCATGCGGGCAGAGCACTGGCTGATGGCATCACTCTTGTCGTACGCAGGTCAAAGCCACGGAGGATAAGCCCCTCGCTGAAGCAGGTTGCTCGCGCCCAAAAGGGAAGAAGTGTGCCTCTTGCTTTGCAAAAATGTCAGCTTCATGGTCCAAACCCTTGTGCAAAGTGTGTCAAAACTGGTCCCCGCACAGAGGGTGAAGTTTCTGGGTTATTGGATCGATACCCGGGACATGACCATTACAGTACCAGAAGACAAGGTGTCGCTTTTGGTAGGAGTCGCTGAGACTGCAGTTACAGAGCACAGCCTCAGTCCGCTCGGTAATGAGAATGGTCGGTCTCGTGACATCTACCATCCCAGCTGTTACCTGGGCACAATTCCACTCACGGCCGTTACAAAATTGGCTGTTGAGGGTATGGGGAAGTCGACCGCAGGACTTGGACAAGGGGGTCCGCATCACAGAGGAAATCAAGCATTCACTACTGTGGTGGATGGAGTGTCGGAACCTCTCAGTCGGCAGACTTTGGTCTCAGCCAACACCACTTGTGGTCACGACGGATGCCAGTGCCTGGGGTTGGGGTGCTCACTGCCGGGAGTACATTTGGCAGGCAGCCTGGGAGCAGGGGAGCCGCCTCAAGTCGTCAAACTGGAGAGAGCTAAAGGCGATAGAGCTAGCCCTCTGCCAGTTCCGGGAGACGTTAGCCGGGCACCATGTAGCCGTGGCCTCGGACAACGCCGCGGCAGTGGCCTACATAAACAGGCAGGGGGGCACGCGCTCGCACGGCCTCATGCAGTTGGCGACGAATATTCTAACTTGGGCAGAGCACACCCTCCTCTCGCTGACGGCGAGGCATATCAAGGGCAGCCTGAACGAGTTGGCAGATTCGCTCAGCAGGACGGAGCTGCACAGGTCAGAGTGGTCTCTGAACGCAGGAACGTTCGCATGGATCACCAGCTTGTGGGGCTGTCCCGAGGTAGACCTCTTCGCAACAGCCAACAACAAGCAGGTGGAACAATTTTTTTCGCTCTCCAGGGACGACGGAGCCCTAGGGGTGGACGCTTTGGTGCACCCCTGGAGCTTCAGTCTAGGTTACGCATTTCCCCCACTGCAGTTAATCCCGAATGTGCTTCGGAAGCTCAGGGGCGAACGGATGGCGTTAATTCTCATAGCGCCATGTTGGCAGAAGCGGCCGTGGTTCACGACCCTCCTGGAGTTGTGTGGCAGGGCTGCTGCTTCCGCCAGCGGCGGATTTATTGATGCAGGGCCCGGTGAGCCACCCGCAGGTGCAAGCTTTAAATTTAGCAGCATGGCTACTGAAAGGGAGGTGTTAATCAACAAAGGGTTATCCGCACGGGTAGTGACTACACTGCTGCACAGTAGAAAGCCGATGACATCTGTGATCTACCTGAAGGTGTGGAAAGTGTTTTCCAGCTGGTACAGCAGTCAGGGTAGGCCTGCGGTGGCCACAGTGCCATTGGTGTTGGATTTCCTGCAGGGCGGTTTGGACAAAGGGCTTTCCTGTAGTACTCTGAAAGTGCAGGTTTCTGCACTGCCTAATTTTGTGGACATTCGATTGGCGGAGGAGCCTCTCATCAAAAGATTTATCCGAGCAGTAGGCAGAATGAAACCCCCGAAAAGCAATTGGGTGCCAAACTGGGATCTCTCGGTGGTGCTACAAGGGTTTCTCAAACAACCTTTTGAGCCCCTGGGGGGGTGTTCCATCCAGCAACTGACGATAAAGACGGCCCTATTGGTAGCGTTGGTTTCCGCACGGAGGGTGAGCGAGATTCAGGCATTTGCTATTACCGACCCCTACTGCACCATCCTGGTAGATCAGATTCTTTTGCGACCAGACCCGTCGTTCTTGCCGAAGGTGGTGTCCACCTTCCACAGGACTCAGGAGGTGGTCATTCCTTTATTTGCCACTAACCCGGCCTCTGCTAGAGAACGGGAGTGGCAGGGTATTGATGTTCGAAGGTGTGTCTTGGAGTACCTCCAAGTCACAAAACCTTGCCGGCAGTCGTCCCGCCTCTTTGTTACGTTTGGGGGCCCCACTAGGGGGAACAGGGCCACTAAAAGCACGATTGCCAGGTGGATTAAAATGGCCATAACTGACACCTACAAAGCACAGGGCTTGGTGCTGCCAGGTTCGCTCACGGCACACTCGACTCGAGCATGGGCTACGTCCTGGGCAGAGCGAGCAGGGGCTACTCCAGAACAGATCTGCAGAGCAGCCACGTGGTCCAGCTGGAGAATGCAGGATTCAGGACAGGAAGTACTGATTTTGTTAGTGTGAGATTTTCAAGCATAATCTGTTGCATTCCTATCGATTTTTGTGGGGCTACTTATGCTGTGGAGCATTGCTTTATATATAGACCTCGGGTGTTTTTCCCAGTTATCTCTGTGGGGTATGTGATAGTGCTGCTCCAACATGGATATAGTGAGTGTTTGTCACCCTAGGACAGAAAGTATGTTACTGCAGGGTCAACAGATAATAAACAATAGGAAAAAAAGCCTGAAAAAGAAAACTATTGCAGTCGCCACATTGCCTAGTAAACTGGAAACAACAACGGTAAAAGCTAGCCGGCTGCGAGGTTCGGGTGAGTGTAACTTTGTTATTTTTGCACCTAGACCAAAATGAGCACTTAACCCTTGCAGTGCGGGATAGCCCCACTGCTAGTGCTAAACGTTTTGCCTGGAGTTCTTCTTTAACTGAACCTGCATTACATCTTGTATGCTAACCCTGTTACTCTGCAGATGTTTTAATAATCCATGGACCATTTTTCTTTTTCAGGGAAGAGAAACAGCAGCGAGCTCTGCATGCGTTGGCAGGAAGGCTACAGGAGATAAATGATGTGGAGGAGCTGACAGCACTGGTACATAACTTGCAGTATAAATGATAGGAAAGGAACGTAAACCATAATTCCACCCAATGACCACCTTATAAGTAAAATGCACATATCTTCCAATTTCTCCTTCACTGCTTTGCAAATGTTTCTGGAAATAACGCTGGAAAATAAAATATTAGACAGTTTATTCATATTAGTGGTTTTCCACCTTATCACAATATTGGACCCTGTTTTCTAACATGCATGTGCAGAAATTGTCCTAAAATGTGGGACAAGTGTTTTGCTAGTTATACAGTGGATTAACACATTTCACCATGCATACTAGCTCCCTTTGTGGCCAGTTATATTCGAGCTGACATGGTATGATATCAGTTTGCACCTAAACTTGTGATTTTGCCTCCGATCAAAAGGCCTGGGCCATGCTGATGGAAGGTCCCTGGATGTCCGGGGTAGCCGAACTTAGACCCTCCAGCTGTGGTGACACTACAGATCCCATTAGGCATTGCAAGACAGCCGCAGGCATGACTTGCAGAGGCTTGATGGTATTTGTAATTTCACCATAGTTGGAGGGACGAAGTTTGGCTGCTGTATATGTATTGCTGCTACTCATGTGTGAGTCCATTTTGTAGATCTGCTATAAAGTGGTAATCCCACAGTAGACCAGATTAAAGTAATGAAAACAAGGGGAATTTTTTGCTCCATGGATATTTTCCCAAAGTGGACTTTTCATGAATATGCAAGGTTTGCTTATATCGTGACACATCCCTCACCCCCTCCTCAAAATCCATCCCCACACTATATAGATATATATATCTATAGCTAGATATAGATATAAAAATTATATATACACACACACACACACACACACCTAAAAAAAAAACACTACTTAAAAACTAGAAGGGGAGAAAGACATTTTAAAAATCAGGAAACAATACCTTGGACTTGGCCTTCTAGCTGCTTTTTGGGGCACCATTTACTCTATTGTTCCTTTCTGCTGCGTCCTGAAAATGCAGATTCCGCTAAATCCCCCAAAAATGAGCTCTTGCAGGAGTTTCCTAGAATGATGGGGTGATGTAACCGACTCCTGCAGACCGTTTCCATCTATGCACTTTGAATATTGCCTGTTCTTTCCTGTAATACAGCCAGAACTTTTACTGGATACATTCTGTTCTGAAAAGATCCTGTATATGATATTTTACAGCAAGTTTAGTTTTTTGCTAGATCTCGGATTTTCTGTGAAATATGTTTTTTAAGAATTGAGCCTATTTTTATAAAGCTTTTCCAGGCAATTTCCCCTCATGTTTGCCACAAGATAAAAATAACCCTGTCAAGTATGACAATTGTGTAAGACATTTCGGTGTTATGCTGTCTTTCTATGTCTTGCTAGAAGACATAGAACAAGTGCACAAGTGCCATGCAAAACGTTTGTTTTTTTCTATTTATCCCAGCTTAGAGGATCCAGCGAGTATGAAGAGAGGAAGCTTATCCGTGCTGCTATCCGGAAAGTCCGAAATGATGAAATTGAAGGTAAGCGCACAAATCTGAAATTAACTTTTTTACCATTTGTTCTAAGCTTTCCAACCTAATATATCAAAGGTGCATTTCAGTGTTAATTAAAATTGAAAGCTTGGTACACATACAGGGAACACAACTCGCCTGTATGTACAGATGTATATCATGACATTTATGTAGTACAACAGTCCACCCCTCTTGCATACAAAAAGCTTGACAGGGAAAAAAGAGAGCGAGATTCAGAAAGTGACCTCTTGGGGTGTCTTTATAGAGAACTCCTACAGTGGATCACAGATAAATGAGTTCTAGTTTCTGATAGAATTCATAGCTCACAGATTGGTTTCACTTGTGGACTGGAATTGCCAATTGCAATAGCCAATAGCAGGCTGGCTTTTGCACCTGCCTGCTGTCAATCAGCAGAGGAGAGCCTGAAGGAGAACATTCTCCTTCAGTTCCCCCCTCTTCTGATTGTCAGCAGGCAGTGGGTGGGTGCGATAGCTAGCCTGCTATTGCAATTTAAAATAACCAATAACAGGCTGGCTATTGCTCCAAGCCACTGCCTGCTGTGTTGACATTCAACTGCCTCAGCAGCTGAATCCAGCAAAGTGGAAAGGTGACACTAGGAATCCCCTAATGTCACCTTAAAGAGAACCTGTCACCTCCAATGTGCCATCACATAGGGGGCTTGTGATCCCCCACGTGTGATCGGAATGAGGTAACAAAAATTCAATAAATTGAAAGTCCCCCAAGCCTGCAAATGCACGTATACTAACGAAAACACAATTCGCGTGCACCTACATAGAAATAAAAAACGATTGCACTGCATATGTCAAGTAAAGTATCACCGCGTCCGCCAGAGTGAGTGCAATCATTCTCTGGCCAGTATTCATGGCTAACTCTAAACTGATGACCGGCTTATATAGATGGATGGTGGCAAACGTAATTTTTGGTTCGGCCTGAAAATTCTGCTCCAGGCTGTGCATTCAATGGCATCCCAAACGCACCTCCCAGCAAGTGTGGTCACCTGCAATGGAATATGTGGTACAGGAATACCATGCATTCCAGTGCAGTGCGAGTGCAAAAAATTTGCATACCGTTTTATTCTGAAGTGAACTTTTTGTTTGTGACACAGAATTTCTGTATTTTATTTTAAATTTAAGCATGGTATTTTTTTTTTATCCGATGAATCGAAAGAAAAAAAACAATCGGCTAACCAATCGATTATGAAAATCGTTAGTTGCAGCCCTAGAGTGTTGGTATTAGATGTTATATACCTCCTTTTTTTATTTTGTATGTTTTCAGCAGCAGCATTGGCTGGAATGCTGGTCAGCCGCACAACTGACCGAGACAATGGCACCACACCGTCCAAAAGTCTAGAGAGTATTGTAGATCTCACTTCTTTGGTAAGTATAGAAAAATGGCTTGCCTTTAAAATGAATGAAGTCATGCATAGCTGTAAGTAGAGCACTTTTCCTGCACCCTTCACCTTACCTAAGCAGATTACCTTTTAAGGATTTATTTTGTAAGAAAGTAACATATGTTTGCATTAATCAGTGTTATGTTAGGAGTAAGTAGATTAGCGTTGGTGATCCTGTCATGTCACAGTTAATTAACACAGCCGAACCCATCAAACCATCTCCTGAGAGTCTCTTGCACAGTTAAGTTTGATAACAGGGCTTCTGATTAGAATGACTTGTAATGTTCTGGTAAGCTATTTGGATGAGTGGCAAAATGTCTTCAACATTCTAGACTGTCCATTACAAAGTCCAGTTGAATGTGACTAAGAGCTGTACCATGACCTGAATAAATATATAAGAACCTTTACAGACATTCTTGTATAGTCCGATTAGGAACATAAGTATGTTGGATGATGTCAAATATGTAAAAAACTTGATGAGGGATGTTTAAGTTAATTGACCTATGTAAGAGTTTGCAAGCAGAGTGACAACCAAGCTGCGCTCCTACCCACCTTATGTCCTACCCAAACAAGCAGCTGTGCTAAAGTGTTACTTGCACAATTTAGTACGTTTTAAAAGTGCACTACGCTACAAATACATGGATTTTACCATAAGCATGGGGGCATCGGTCATTTCATCTTTATTTACACCTTCTTCCACTGGGCTCACTTGAGCTGCCTTCCATTCTGCAAACTGTGATGAACCCCTGGCACACAATATGCTGGTCACCAATCACTCTGCAAAATGTTCATACTGTTCAGATCTATTTCACAGTAAAACCCATCACTCTCCAGCCATAGACTGAACCAGTACAGAGTGTGATTACTGGGTAGCCTGACATACAGTGGGGCAAAAAAGTATTTAGTCAGCCACCAATTGTGCAAGTTCTCCCACTTAAAAAGATGAGAGAGGCCTGTAATTGGCATCATAGGTAGACCTCAACTATAAGAGACAAAATGAGAAAACAAATACAGACAAATCACATTGGCTGATTTGGAACGAATTTATTTGCAAATTATGGTGGAAAATAAGTATTTGGTCAATATCAAAAGGTCATCTCAATACTTTGTTATATATCCTTTGTTGGCAATGACAGAGGTCAAACGTGTCCTGTACGTCTTCACAAGGTTGGCACACACTGTTGCTGGTATGTTGGCCCATTCCTCCATGCAGATCTCCTCTAGAGCAGTGATGTTTTGGGGCTGTCGCTGGGCAACACGGACTTTCAACTCCCTCCAAAGGTTTTCTATGGGGTTGAGATCTGGAGACTGGCTAGGCCACTCCAGGACCTTGAAATGCTTCTTACGAAGCCACTCCTTCTTTGACCGGGCGGTATGTTTGGGATCAATTTGTTTTCTCATTTTGTCTCATAGTTGATGTCTACCTATGATGCCAATTACAGGCCTCATCTTTTTAAGTGGGAGAACTTGCACAATTGGTGGCTGACTAAATACTTTTTTGCCCCACTGTAAAACTGTTCTGTGACTCCTGCTAAAACAAATGCACACAGAATAATCCTGAGCCATGTGGACTGCTTCCCATTCTGCCCGTCATTACATGAAATGCTCAACCTTTACATTGCACTCCTGTTCAGCGATGGATACATGTTGGCAATTCATTGCATACAGGAAAATCCAGGCAGGGATTATTCCAGATGTGGGGATTAATGCCAGCAGCACAGTCTGCTGGTATTGATATCCACACTGATATTGGGAACACCTAGACCACCTGCTGTTTGCTCTAGCATTGCAGGCTCTTAGTAATCAGGTGAATTTTAGGCTTTTCTAATAGTCTTTGGATTCCTATAGTAGTATATTACTTTAATGAATTGCTAGTTAGTATCCTAATCTACTAATTAGCCTATAAAGATCTTTAAAAAAAAATTGGTGTGAATTATGTCAAACTAGAAAATTGTGAGCCTAGTTTGTCCTTACAGATTTCTTTGTAGAAAGATTGGGAAGGTAAGAATGGTATTTTAAGTTTTTTATATTTTGCTTTTATATGTAAGAAAAACTAAATCTGACTTAATGTGTCCAATGCTACCCTAGGCGCAAGATAAAGAGGACTTAGAAGAAAGGAAGATTATTAAGGCTCAGATCCATGAACTCCGCAGCAGTCAGAATGGAAGCAACCATGCTGCAGTGGATGGTATGTAGTTCTAGAAGTTTATAATTCACAGCCTTTACTGTTTTTAATATTTATGCAAAAACTTCTCTCCTTTCAAAAATGTTTTAACAAACTCTGAATCATCAAAGCTGTAGTTCTTTAATCTCAATAGATAGCTTCTGTTCCTTTGACAGGAGCGGGATGATCTACAGGTATGAGTTATTGGTTGCTTTGGGTTACTGCACTATGCTCTCCATGTCAGACACAAACTGAATCCTCTACATTATAATCTAGTGATCTGCCATGTGCTTAGTTTTGACTCCTACTACTCATCAGAGTGATTCTACAACTACCCTGAGTCAGAATATCAGGATGGCATTATTCGTTATAATACAATAAACTGATGTGTCATACATAAAGTTTTAACAATTTCATATTTAGCTTCTAAGTTTGTAAGTTGTATATTTTACAGTAATATACTGTGAATGTTTGGATCACATTTTATTTTATTGAAGCCCTGACGTCAACACCAGGATTTGCTTACTCTAAATTCTAGTTTGCGATTGTTCTTCTAGTGTGCTCTCATCTCTCTAAACAGCATTGTTTAAAAAAAAAAAATCATCCATCATTTAAACAACGCTGCTAAGAACTGTTTGTTCCAAAATGGTCACATACCAAACACATAAGCCTAGAAAAGCTACAGCCTGTACTGTTTAAGTAACTTACCAGGATATTCACTTGACTAACTCTCAAATATATGGAGGAGATGTCCGATTTTTGTGTTCCTTTGCAGACGCTCTTCCTTCTGAGCATGTCATAGCTGATGTTATCTAAAACAGGAAAAAAAAGCTAGGCTCCCATTACACAGAACAAATTTGTAGTGATTTTGCCTTTACAAACATGTGTTTTTTGTGTGGTATCACGTAGTGCACAGGGTGGGTGCATGCACAACATCTCATTAGTGTCAAGTATAGGCCTGTAAAATTGCTTTTTCGTCTCCTTTTTGTTTTAATAAGACCAGAGACGCAACTTCTGAATGTGGAGTCTTAATCCCCAGAGCCTTCTGTTAAGCAGATGTGTGTTGCTTCATACATTAAAAAAAAAAGTATGCAAAGTAAATAATTGCTATTTATTTTTTAAGCACAGCAGAGTAACAAAATATTGACTCTAAGCTTTTTTTTTTTTTCTGATTTTTATAATTCAAATTGTAATTGATCATGATAAAATATGCAGCGGTGCCATCAGTGATTACATGTTGAGTACCCCCCATGATCGTTAATTCACAGTGGTAGAGCACCGCCTAGTGTTGAGGCAAGGCTAATATTAAGTTCCAGATCTGTGTCTCTCTCTCAGTAAATCAGTGTGCAGTCAAGTGATGGCTTGCGATATAGACAGTTTATGCATTACCCAGGCAGCTTTTTGCACACTTGTGAAAAGGACAAAACGAGTCAACATTTAAAACTTATTCACACCAATGTTTGCATGTTAACACATATCTAAGTGTAAATGGACCTATTTTTTGTTGCTAAATTTCAGCACATAGTTGTGAACCAGCAATACAGGAAAGATTGGGATTTCTATTTAAAATGTTTGTTTATACTGTACAGTAAAATAGTTTGACTGTGGGAAAATAGACACGTGTGATTAGGCCCTTTAAAGATTTTAGTTGTTAAGATGTTCTGTACGATCTGATTACGAGAGGTTTATCAAACTGTACTTTTTTTAATGCTTTCAATGGAAATTCAACCTAAAGTATACTTGCCACAAATCTGGGCAATTTAGATTTAACATAACCACTGATTTTTAATAACACTGCTAAGTAAAAAATCACATATCAAAACAAGTCAGTAGATCCAATGATCTAGGCCACGTATCCCTGTTGTCTAGAGGCTGGACTCAGCGCTACTTTTACGGGAAAAAATATTTGCATATAACCTAAAGTGGAACTATGGGCAAAAAAAAATTTACAAATGTATGCAGTCTGTCTCTAGCTCTGAGACCACCCTGTAACAGTCTTAGTGGTTAGCACTTCTGCCTTGCAGCACTATCTGCAAGGAGTTTGCATGTTCTCCCTGTGCTTGCATGGGTTTCCTCCGGGTACTCCGCTTTCCTCCCACACTCCGAGACATGCTGAAAGGTTAATTGGTTCCTGTCTAAATGGCCCTAGTATGTGTATGGAATAGGGACCTTAGATTGCTAGCTCCCTGAGGGCAGGTACTGATGTGAATGTGTGCTATGTAAAGCGCTGCGTAAACTGTCGAGACTATATAAATAGATAAAATAAAATACAAATAAATGATTACCTGTTGATTCTGCCAGTGGATCTATTATCTTTTACGTGTTCTGTAATAGGGTGACGGCATTATCGTTCTGCAGTTAAATGTACAATTTGAAGTAGTTCTAGCAACGCATTTTTATTTTGAAGAAAAAAAGGTTTAAGATTTGTGAACAAAAGCTAACCATTGTAAGCACCACTACCATTGTTATATGGTTTGTCCCAACCCCTGTACTTGCCACTTTTGCTGGGCATCTTAGACTGTAAAGGAAGTGGGAAAAATTGTATTTACTGGCAGGATCAATAGGTCGTTGGGGAAAAACAAACACTGCTTTGTTAAAGCCCAACTCCGGGCACAATAACCTTACCTGGGTTAAAACAGTAAACCTTTTATTTTTCTCAAAAGCAACCCTTAGTCATGCAGGCTTTCTCCTAGTCCAGCAAATCTGCTCGTTAACAAGCTGGGATTAGTTCAGCACTCGCTGTATTTACAGGCAGCTCAGATGTACTGTAAGAGCTGCAAGTCCCATGTACCCCAGTGCTGTGGTCGTGTCTCCTTCTCACTCTTCCTCTGGCCATTATTTACCCACACAGCCCTGGCCTTTGTTTTGTGAATGGCCAGGAGAAGAGGAAGGCATGAACACAGTGCTGGATTCTATGTGACATGCAGCAATGACAACTGAGCAGGCCAGAAGAACAGTGAGAGCTGTACTAATCTCGGCATGTAAATGACCAGATTTGCACAATATAAGAGCCTGCATGACGAAAGGGGTTGCTGAGAAAAATAAATATTTTACTACTTTTAGCCAGGTAATGTTATTGTGCCTGGAGTTGAGCTTTAATGCTAGTGGCAGTCTGCATCATATGTAATTTCTTATTTTGCCCATAGGTCCACATTAGGGTAAGTATAATCAAAACTCTTCTCCAGGTTGGTCCATCCTGTCTGTCACATGTTGCCAATTTGCAGCTTTCTCTTTTTATAGTAGGTATCATTCCCATGAAAATCTGAGAAATCTTTGGCACGCAGACAGCATGGAGCTGGTCTTTCACATGACGTACTTCTCATTTAAGATGATGTTGCACATGTTGCTTTTGGCATCATGTTTTTATGAGTTTGAAAAATGCTAATATGAATAGCTGTCATTTGCTCCTGTGATGACAGCTTGGAGGGTGGAGAACTTGTCTTTCATGTTTACCTGTTGTGGCAAGATCAACCAACAACTATTCAAATTTCCTAGAATGCTGTTGGAAGGGAGGCTTCATATTTGTCTGGCCTTTTTTTGTTGTTTTTGTTTTAATGTCAATTAACAATTAGTCTCATGCTCTGGAGCTATTTAACCTCCAAAGGCCTATCGTGAATTTCAACATGTCGAATTTAGCTGGCTGTCACTTTCCCTCCCCCCCGCTGGGACATAGAGCAGCGCCCAGCGGGGAGGAAAGAAATCGGGGATGCGCCGATGTAGGAAACTAGTCCCGAGCCATTAGCCAAGGTGCAGTTGGACCCAGTTTGCAGTTTGGCTATATATATATATATATAGCCAAAAGTGTATGTATTTTAGTTTTGGATAGAGTAGGGAAGCGATAGAACCCATCTAAAGCTGTTTTGGCTGTCTGTAATCTTGTTTGAGATTCACTTTTCTTGGTCCTGGAGACTACGAAAGAAAGCATCAAAAATCTAAATGTTTACTGTCGCCACAACATGAGGTGAGAGGAAATCTTTCTCTGGGAACAGCTTTTTATGGTGACAGCTGGCTGACAGGAATCCTCCTACTCACTGTCACTACCCGTTGTATCTCCAGGACAGGAAGGGAAGGGAATTTTTTTTTTTGCCTTAGATACTCGGCTTGTGATGCATTACTACCATAGGATAATGGTGTTTTTATAATTGTGTTTATAGACTCTTCATCTGACATGGTTCTGCTTCTAAGTGCTCCCTCAAAACAAAAGTTGTCATCGTCTTCATCATCATCATCGGTTTCTTCCGAACCTGGGCATATGTCACAGTCCCATACAACAGAGCACTCCACCCTCAGCACAGACTCAGAGGAGGACACTCCACAGAATGGAAGTACAGAGGTATATGTAGCGTCAGCCACACAGATCAGAGCGGAGAAACCTCCAGATAATAGAATCACCCTTCAGAAACAGAGTTTTCAAGCAGAACAAAAGCCTGATCCCAGAGAAACCAACAAAACCATAATCTTGACAAATAAGGTAGCTATTTCTTCACTGCACCTGCCACACTGCCCTCTCCCTTTGTTTGCTAACAAGAATATGATTTAAATACACAAGGCACAGTTTTGATTGATCTTTGGTGGCTGAACAGGTTTGGGGTAGGATCTTTCATCTATTGCTTTACAATAAGTAATAGTACTACTTAAAGTGTACGTATAGCCAAAAAATTTTTTTTGGTTACTATGGCTGGAGTAGGTAAAGGTTAAAATACCTATCGGGTTTTTTTTGCCCTCTTAGATACACCACAGGAAACCCTTCCCTAATCTGTCCAAAACTGGGGGAAAGCTTGCCTTTACATACACTTTAAAATTAGGTTTAAAGCTAAGATTGTTTGTGTGATTGAGAAATAGAGCAAATTAGATTATTATTATATTATGGTTGTTACCTGCCAAAGCATTTCTAAGTTACCAAATTAAAAATTCAGCAGCTTCCTATTAGGGCTGCAACCAACTAATCAATAATAAGAAGTTGTCAACTATTCTCATTATCGATTAGTTGCTTGGATCCCCTAGCTCTCCTCCATGCTGGGAGGAGGGCACAGCAAGCAGTGGGCGGGTGCAATAGCCAGCCTACTATTTATTATTGCAATTTGAAATCGCCAATAGCAGTCTGGCTCTTGCATAACTACCTGCTGTATTTACATTCTGCAGCTTGCCATCTGCAGGAATCTTGCCACTGGCAGCTGTCATTCCCTGGCTGGTGCTATTCAAGCACCATGTGCTTACAATATAAATATTTACAAAAACAAAACAAAAAATTATAAAAGTTGGGGGAAAAAAGTAATTTTCGGTTTCCACCTGACAATTTAATTTATTGGACCGTTAATTGGCTGTTGCCCACCCATCAGTTGGACTGCTTTTGGAAGTCATAACTGTTTCAGAATTCTTGTGTCCCTCAATGGATGATAAAGAAAATAGGATTTTTGCACTTACCTTTTCTGTGAGTCCTTTCAGAGACACGGGTCACTCACAAAACTATATCATGACAATGTTAGGCTGGGTTATACAGCGGCTGGCTTAACGTTTTTTTGTTTCCCAGTATTCCGTCCTCTTGTAGCCAGCAGTATAACCCAACTGTTTCAGAATTCCTGTGTTCCTAAATAGACTCTATGAAAAAGATTTTACAATAAGTGCAAAACTTATTTTTGTATGTCAACTGTATATTTAGTTGTTTGGTGTTCTACTTTTAAAATAAAATTAAATAAAATTAAACAGTGTCAGGTTCCTCACTGGGTTCCCCAATGTCCATCCTCTACTCTTCAGCATTGCCTGTGGTGTTGATTCTAGTGTTCTGTAAAATTAATAAAACATGGAGAGTGAAGGCAGCACGCACCTACCTGTGTTGATCTAAATCTAGGGGCCTACAAAGTAAATAAAGACGAGCCGTGTGATTTACAGCAGGGCTGGGTAGAAGATACCGTGGGGTGGGCCTTCTTGGGCCCTTGAGGAGTTAGTGGGTGCAAAAAAGGCCTTTGAAACTGTAGAGAGAAGTTTTCGGTCTGTCCAAAGTGACGGGAAACTCTGACTTTCCCCATAGAAACACTAAAGGTGCTCTGAGCTTCCTCCCATTAACATACAATGCTGATAGGTGTTTGACCCTTTGTTAGGACAAGCAGGGTTCCGCTTTAGTTTACAACTGACAATGCCATCTGCCAGCACAGTATAGACCGCGTACATTACGGCAAACATTAACTACCCACCCCCTTGCATTTTCTGAAGAAAATTCAGTTTAGAGAAAAATGTGGGCAGCTATTTTTTTAATTTTTTTTTCACAAGTAATGGGAATGAGAACAGGTAATAAATATAAAAAAAGTATTTTTACCCAATTTGGCTGTAAAAGTGGAAATGCACTTTAAAAGTTGTCTGTCAGAATGCACAGACAGACATGAACTGCTGACGGCAGCAGAACAATTCTGTCAGTTGTGATGCTGTACAATGTAAGGAGGAAAAGAGTAGAAACCAACAGTTATATCCAATATCCATATAGTAAAATGTATTTTTTGGCAGTAAAATCATTTTGACAATGTTTTTGACCCTGTAACAGCAATAAAAAAAAAAAAACAAGTTACACAACCACTTATGCAGCCTGTTTATCTGCTATCAATGTTGTAAAATCAAATAAATATGTTTTAGTTGCTGTACAAGCGTCTTCAAAAGTAATAGTTTCGAGTTCTGTCAGTCCTGTGAAAGGTACACAATGGCACATAACATTTATGTCCAGCAGGTGGCAGTGCTGTGCCATTGTTCTGTGTGCTGATCTTTGGCATACTATATTTCTATATAGAGTTCTATAAGTCCTTCAGTCAAATCAGCCTGTTAAACCAGAAACAGCTGCTGTTGTTCACATACTAAGCTAAACTTTCAACTATGTGTGTAGTAAAATGTTCAACTTTTTTCCCCGCACCTTTTTTTCTGGGTTTTGAACATCATATTGCCATAAAAGTACCACTACAGCCCAGGTAATGCCATATTAAAAAGAGGCTCTCTGTGTCACTGTAGGTTGCCTGAAAGTCCCAGCAGGCCCCACTTTGTAAATTAGACAAAGTAATTTGATCTTAACAGGGAACCATCTATATGTTTTTCCTTTCAGCTCCATTCCCAGCTGCTATGTAGCTTTGAAACAGAGCTCACAATTTGAGATTTTCTGTGTTTTTTTTTATAGGACATTTTCAAAATGTTTTTTGTACTTAAGCAGTACTCACAAAAATGTCTTCCTTTTTAGTCTTTAATTTCTCCTAAAATAGCAGTGCACTTCTTTGTATGTGAGAATGCCCAAGCACTTCTGTGAGATAGATAGATAGATAGATAGATAGATAGATAGATAGATAGATAGAGATATATATATATATACACAGTGTGCGATCTAATGCACTGTTTTCTCTGATTTGCTTTTCTAAGAAGATTTGGAGTGAGACTATAAAATCTGATTTTACACTCTCCTTCAGATTTGCCTAAACATGTAATATTACGGAAAACTTAAACACCTATTCAGTTTGTAGTTAATCAGGCAGACATTTGCACTACATAGTTGACGGTATATCTAAAGGAGCTTGTACAATCAGTTTGTATAAGGTTAGGGGTCAACAACCTTTTCCACATTAAGGGGTGTATTTATAAACAATTTGTATGGTCATTCGCCCTGCAAAACTCCATGAATGTTCGATCTGTGATAGTGGAGCCCAAAACGAACAGTCTTCGTACATTTTCTTGCCACTTGAAAATGTACTGTAGGCAAAATACCACATTATGGCCATGAGATGAAGCTGTGGAGCATAGGAAATAATTATTTATTTTTAATGCTCTTCTGCGCCATCTAGTGGCCTTAATGTGATATTACATGATGACATTTTAAATTACATTGGACAAAGAACATTTGCTTTGTGCATCCAATCGCACTGAAAGAAAATTCACTAAGATTTGCAGGGCAAATGGTTTTGCAAACTGTTTTTAAATAGACCCTAAAGGTCCATTTATATGCATTAGACAACCAGCATGCCAGTGAAAAAAGCGTGCCACAGACTTCAGATTAGGCCCATTTCCCATACCATTAAAAACACAGGGGTTTTACAGTCACACTGGTTGTAGCTGGCAGTTCCACTAAGAAGGGGAAGCGGGTAGGAAGACGGGCTTCTTTATGCAACGTCATCTGACACCACAGAGGGACCTACGCTGGTACAAGGAGAGGCGGCTCCTGAATGTCACCGATGACAGTCAGGCCTCTCTGAATTGTCATAGAAATGAGTGGGCTGTGAGTGCAAGTGGACCAGCCAGGCTTTGTAATTGACAGCCTAGTCAGCAATCTGCTGCAGCCTATGGCAGCAGAGGTCCACCAGAGCAGTCAAAGTCTGTGCTCATGTCACTTGGATAGTTTTCCAAATTACATCGCCTATCCTCCATGGCACACATGCCTTTTGGTTGTCTATCCCCGATTTTATAGTGTGTGGTCAGCTTAAGTCCTGAAGTAAGCAAAGTCAGGTCCCTATTTACAAAGTGAAACTAGTTTCAAAAAGCACACAGAGGAGGGGTTTCTGTTTAACAAAAGTTATAATGGCAACTATTTATAAATTCTTAGAATGTTTGTTAAAATTTGCCATAAGGAATTGGTATATGAATGTTATAGTACTATGATTTACGAAGGGAACACAACCATGGTAGTATTGTATCAGTGTTTTAGAATGTGACTTGGAGAACTATTATCTTAAATTTGCTTCCTCTTACTAGAAATGGGTGGTTAGCCAAGGACAAGTCCGAAGAAATAAAACACTTTTATTTGCCTTAGCAGAGTGCTGATAATAAAGGATCGGCTCCAGAGGAGAAGGCATCAAGGACATGTACAGAGCCAGGTAAGGCTGACTGTAGAGTCTGCTGTTAATGAAGTCACACTGTGCGAGGGAAAGCTACTGAATCTGTTTCTGCTTTTGGAACTTGTATAGGTTTTAATCCTATAACTTGAGTAAGAGAGCCTAATTCCTTCAAAGCAGATATGTATAGGGCTGACTTACCGCAGCAAGAGCCATTCGGTTACCCAGAGCAACAACATGTTTGTTTTCAGTAAAACAGTGAATATCATTAGTGGTACATTTTCATACGTGGAGTTGGGAATCTAAATTACTACTATAGGGTAACACAATGTGGAAGACCAGTGGCGTATTGATAATGCAATCACTTTTGCTGCCTAACTACACTGTAGAGCCCTGATCAGCTGGCTAGCAGTAGATTTTTTTTTTTATAGGGAATTGGTGAAGTAATTAAGGGCCTTATGTATTAACATATTCTTACTAAAAACTAGAGTTATTTCCTAATAGCCACCATACACATTCAGACTTTCATGGCAAGGCTGCTGCTGATTGGTAGCTGAGCCATAGCATAAATAAGCCTCAAGTTTTATTATATTACCTGTTTATGTACCTTTCTTGGGATAGAGGCTGATATGCAAGTCAGGTCTAACATCCTTAATAGTGTGGTCTTTGTCCACTTTTCCCAACTTGCACTCTGGATTGATAAATGATGAAACCACTTATGTAGAAATATATGAGGTGAAGGTCCAGCCGTATCACAGGCGCTGCGCTTTTTCCTGCTTCATACCAGTTTAGCTGTAACACACGAGGAAAGGTAGCTGTAACTCACACAGACTAGGAATCATATCTTGGCATATGTAGATGAGAGAGGCATCCTAAAAACTTTGTTTTCATAGAAAGGTTTGTGAATTTTCTAAATGTAGACACAAGGTATGTTTTAATTGGGAACAAATAATACTATGTGGAATTCTCCATGCCCCTGACTGATATCGAAGAATGATGATTGAATGTAACACAATGCACAATTACATTTGTTATTGTTTCTTTACCATTCAAATGGTCTGGTGTATGGCAGCCAGCTGCTAGGAGTACATAAAGACTGGACAGGTTCAAAAGCCTGTTCTGATTATTACTGTTCAGCATGCCACTTACTGGTAAATGGCGTGTTTACTGAAGTGACTATGTGCCAATTGTAATGTGTAATGCTTTTGTCTGGTCACATGCCTGTCTTGTCACTGTAACTATTCTAGTACCTTGCATATTCTTATGCAACCTGATTACTCTAAGCAAGCCTTCTGACCTTGGATACTTGTACAAATGCATACAGTATTGTCAGTTTAGAAGCTAAACTTTCTCTACTAATAAACAGTCACACGTTAAAAAAAAATTACACTACTGCTTATTACCTACAGTACATGTTCTAGTTAGTAGAAAATTCAGGTTATATTGCCACTTTCAGGAGGTTGGGACACAGGAAAACAATATTTGTAAGCCAGCCCCCTACTCTACCCAGCATGCCCCAGGGTTTTTCTAATGACCTAGGAGGTTGGATACCTTTTTCTTCAGCTATGCTGAAAAAGTTTATTTTTGCTAGCTTTTTTCAATTTGTGGAGATTGTTTATCTCAGTGTCTTCAGTCAAGATTCCTGGCTACACCACTGCTTGAGCTGGCCTCTTTAGAAAAGCTATCCCAAATGGCATTTCCTCAGCAACAACTTTTGAGTCCATACCCAGACCCTGCTGAATTAAACGTGTGGGTTACCCTGGAATCTGGCTTTGCACTGTGGTACTTTTAAAAGGGCACCTTTTAAAAATTCCTACCACAGCTGGTTCCTACCCTGAGAAGGTTTTAGGCAGAGGGTTTAAGCACTGATGTCCTTCACTATGTGGAGTGCTCCTCCCTTTCCTGCCATTCCGCCTGGAGGAAGAACAATTCTGCTTTTGGGCCTGTTCCTGACGCGCCATGTGGCTCCCCAGTATGATTCCACTGCCTATCTGCAGTGACTCGATAACCAGCTGCCTGAGTTAGTATTTGAGGCCTTGCCTAGCTGCTTGCCACCACACGATGCAACTTGTTTTCCCAAAGATGCAGGGAGGACAGTCCCATTGTCAAGGGTGACTTCAGCCCATACTCCTGTTGCAGTTCTTGTTACATTTACAAGGTATCCCCAGATTGAATCAATGTATCTAACCAACATGGTTTCATGAAGGACCTTTCTTGTCCCATGTATGTAACCAACATGGTTTCATGAAGGAACGTTCTAGTCAGACCAATCTATTAACATTTTATGAGGAAGTACTAAATTAGACAAAGAAATACCAGTAGACCTTGTGTATTTGGATTTTGCTAAAGCATTCGCAACAGTACCCCACAAACGTTTAATCCATGAACTGTGGTCTAGATGCAATTGTATGTACATGGGTGGAAAATGGGCTGCAAGAATGGACTCAGAGGGTAGTGATAAATGGGTCATTCACTAATTAGGCAAAGGTTGGGAGTGGGGTGCCCCAGGGTTCATTCCTGGGACTGATCCCGTTAATCTTTTTCATACATGGCATAGAGATTAGACGAAATAGCTCAATTTCGCAGATGTTTTTTGCAGATGATACTAAACTCTGCAGAGCAGTAAATTCCGAACAGGAGATATACGCACTACAACAGGACCTAAGCAAAATTCAGGCATGGGCTACAAGATGGCAAATGCGATTTAATGTTGAAAAATTTATGGTTCTGCACATGTGTGCAAACTACTACTTGGGGGTGTTACTTTAGGGGAAGTCAGACATAGAAAGAGACCTCGTTATAGATCACAGATTTGGCAATAGTAAGCAATGCCAAGCAGCAGCCAGCCAAGCTAACAAGATACTGGTGTGTATTAAAAGAGGCATTGTAGCAAGGGATCAAAGAGTAATACTTCCACTTTATAAATCATTTGGTACGGCCCCATCTTAAAAATGCGGTACAGTTCTCGTTGCCGACTCTCAGGAGGGACGTCCTAGACCTGGAGAGAGTTCAGAGAAGGGCTACAAAATTAGTTAAAGGGATTGAAGACCTGAGTTATGAGGACTGCATTTAAAATCTTAACCTATTCACCTTAGAAAAGAGGCATTTAAGAGGGGATTGCAGTCTTCAAAAGCCTTATTGCAGTCTTCAAAATCATCAATGGGCACCACAATATTAAGAACAAACTGTTTAATCCCAAAACCTGTATTGAGAACCCAGGGACACAACAAGAGGTTAGAAGAGAGGGGTTTCAATCTTAGAATTTGCAAGGGGTATTTCATTGTGAGAGTAGTGAAAGTTTGGAATTCCCTACCACAGGCAGTGGTATCTACTGATAACATTGATAAATTCAAGGAACTTCTGGATGAGTTTCTTCTTTCACAGAATCTACAGGGATTTGGGAAGTGTAAGGCCCCATTCACACGTAGCGACATACCTTTTGCAGCGGCCGGGATAGCGTGACCTTCTCCGTCGGGCTCCATTAGAAAAAAGCAAAATCCACTGAAAAAGGGTCCTGTAGAAGCGACCGCGACGCGCGACATGGAGCTAAGACCGCTCCATTGAATATCATTAGCCGGCGACTTCCCGCGATATCGCGCGGCAAGAATGCGCGATATCGCGGCGGAAATCGCTACGTGTGAATGGGGCCCTAGAGCAAGATAAATACAGACACACTCTCACATACATAGGTTGAACTGGATGGACCTTGGTCTTTATTCAACCTTACATACTATGTAATTGAATTGATGCATGTAACCCTATTGTTGAAGGGATGTTATCAGTATAGTCTGTTTAAGCTCTGACAGGCAGAGATGAAGCCTCCCCCGTGTCCACGGAGACCTACATGTACTCTGAACTTCCTAACTGTTTGTGCTCAGTTACTGGAGCATTCTGCCAACAAAGCCTCCAAGTACACTCCTGGGCCATCCTCAGCAAAGTGTGTTTCTGAGTTCATAGATCAAACTGGGCCTGTAGCCCATTATCATTTCTGTGTCAACAGTCTGCTTTAACCCAAAAACAGTCACTCCCAATACAGTCTCCTGCAGTTGCTTTGGATATACAAGGTGTTTTTAAAATTTACTGATGCATTGCATTTCATCTTGCATGTGGAGGATCAGCCTGCTATTGCAGGTATTGGATCTTTTTAAAGCTACTATAGCTGCAAATATCTTTACATGGGCACTTGCTTTTTAAGGCATTCCTCTATGTGGACTGGAAACACCAAGAAGAGTTCTGGGTCCCACCTGAGCATGTGCCAGCAATATTTTCCATCTGAGAAATGGTTTTTCTAATCTGTGGTCTGTGCTCACTGTGGATGCACCAGTGATCCATTTTAAAAGAGAACTCCAAAAGGGTCACAGATATCCTTACCCTTGGGCACTTCACTAAGGAAGTTGAATGCCATCCTTAGATTCAAGCTTGAATTAACTGGTTTGGCCCCCTGTCTTGTTTTGGCGGTAACTATGATCTGTCAAACCATGTCAGAATGGTTGGAATCTCTCAAAGAGGATCCATCTAGGTAGCTCCCTGTTTTATAGATGTGTTTTCTGGAGCCTTGTTCTAGTTGTGATTTGCTTGTTAAAAAGCCTCTAAACTGGTGTCTCACATGGGACTGATGCCTGTATAAATTCATAGGGCACTGATTAGAAATCCATCTGATTAGCTTACTCTTCAAGAAATATCATCTCTTAAGGCCTGATCTTGACTCTGTCATTAGGCACACAATGGGCGGTCAGAGTGCGCTCCTGCCTAAATGCAGGAGTATCGTGGAAGGGTCTGTGCAAGCCCACCCTTCCACTTCATCTCCCTTGCCTATAAGTAACCATAGATCTTCTAAGTCTAACTTCCATCAAAGCCATA